CATCATACCCCCGTCCTACCAATCACACCCCACCCCACCTCCTACTCCTCATACTCTACCTCTCCGTATGCTTACACTTCCTTACACCATACCACTCCCCTCATACCTCGATATCTGTCTTACACCTCATTACACCTCATTACACTGCATCGCAATCTGCAACCGAAATCTGCAACCGAAATCTGCAACCGAAATCTGCAACCGACATCATCACTCCCTCCTGTCGCCATCCATTCCCCCCCTTCAGCCTCCCTCAGCCTCCTGCATCCTCCTTCCTCCCACCGTCCCCTCCCCCCCCGGGATGGCTGCCCCGCTCACCCTCTCTACCATCACTTCCGTCACCGACCTCCCCGCGCTCTATGAATCGCTCCACGCGCGCGCCTCCGACACCTCCTCGCTCTTCCTCTCCCTGACCCCGCTCCCGTCCCTCCTGGCCTCCCTGTCCGCCCTCTCCACGCGCGACCGCTCGCGCTCGCTCCCGCTGCACGGCGTCCCGTACGTCCTCAAGGACAACATCGACCTCCCGCCGCACCCGACCACGGCCGCCTGCCCCTCCTTCGCCTACACCCCGTCCGAGCCGGCCTTCGCCGCCGCCCTGCTGCGCCGCGCCGGCGCCGTGTGCCTCGGCAAGGTCAACATGGACCAGTTCGCGTCCGGCCTGGTCGGCACGCGCACGCCGCACGGCCCGCCCGTCAACCCGCGCGCCCCGGCACACATCCCGGGCGGCTCGTCCTCCGGCTCCGCCGTCGCCGTCGCCTCCGCCCTGGCCGCCTTCGCGCTCGCCACCGACACGGCCGGCTCCGGCCGCGTGCCCGCCGCCATGAACGCCATCGTCGGCCTCAAGCCCACGCGCGGCCTCGTCTCTACGGCCGGCCTCGTCCCCGCCGCAAAGTCGCTCGACTGCGTCGCCGTCTTTGCGTCGTGCGTCGCGGACGCCGCCCACGTCCTCCGAGTGCTTGCCAAGTACGATCCTGCAAACGTCTTCTCGAGACCCCCGCCGCCCGCCTTCTCGCTCGCCGCCGCCGACCACATGCCGCAGGAGCACGCCTTCAGCTTCGGCTCCCTGGCAAAGCCCGACCTCACGTTCGACGGCGATGCGGCGTCCGAGCATAGCTATCACGCCGCCGTCAGTGTCGTGCGCCGCATCCACGGCCAACAGGTCACGGTTGACTTCGCCCCGTTTCGGGACGCCGCTGCACTGCTGTACGGCGGCCCGTTTGTGGCGGAGCGCTTCGCGGCCGTCGGCCGCTTTATTAAGGACAATCGGGAGAAGAAGCCGGAAGACTTCGACCCGGTCGTCACCGATATTGTGCTCAAGAGTGAGCACATTCCGGCATGGACGCTCTTCGATGGTCAGGAGCGCATCAAGGAGCTTGTGAAACTCGCCGACGAGGAGACTTGGAAGAACATCGACATTCTTGTCCTGCCCACCATTCCCAGGCCTGTCACCGTGCAGGAGGTGAGGGATGACCCTGTGAAAGTCAATTCCATGCTGGGGACTTACACAAACTTTGTCAACTTGATGGACTACTGCGCAATCGCAGTCCCGGCGCCGACAATTGAGGGCTCGAGTGTGCCGAGGGGTGTGACGTTTGTTGCCAAGGCGTTTGAGGAGAGCAAAATCTTGGCCTTAGCAGAAACATATCAGAAGGCTCTGTTTATAAAGCAACCAAAGTAGTCTGCGCAGAATTCCTTCGTGCTTGGGCTGCCTTGTGCCGCCATTTGTGGTGAAGAGTACATGCACGGACAAAAAAAAAGCACAGAGGACAGGGTCCATGTCCATCTAGGTGCACGCATCCTCAGAAAAACAAAGGCGTGACGTGGACAAATATATGTAGAGATGGCTACTGCAGAGCCAAGCGTTGCCGTACGCCAACCCCGAAGCAGCAAAGCGAAACGCGGTCGTCATGCGGAAAAGCATAGGAAAAGTGCGTCAATCGGACGGTTGAGCGGAACTGCGCAGAGCTGAGCCCTCCAGTCATTTCAGACCATTATGTAGTGCCCCACGAGAGCATCCGTCTTTCCAGGCTGGTGCAATTCAAATTGCTGTCCCACCGGCGCTTTGCACACGCTCTGCACAGTAGCATGACGTGCTGCTAGCAATTTCAGGACAATCATATCACAATATAGATCATAGTTGGTAGACATAGGACGATGCAGTATACAGTAGGCTTCATAGTACAGGGGGGGGGTCGCGATATAGTGCTACCCTGTGTCAGTGGGCCAAAAACGGCACTATATCGAACCAGGCACTGTAAGATAATGAGATTTACAGCTTTTTTGCAGCCACTTCCTTATATCACTGCTCAGAAAGACCGCTCGCAGGACGCCATCACTCATGCTTTGTATCTTCACTACAGGCTCAAGTCTAATCAAGCATTTCTGTTATTAGTGGCTGCCGAGCCGTCGCATTGACTTCCTCCTTTCTCGCAGCTATAAATGCCAGCCTACACTTTTGCAGATGTCCAATTGCATCATCGACCCTGCCTTTTTCCGCCATAGTCTATTCGAGGTAGCAACTGCATAATAACTTTCCGTGGCGGCAGTGGCTCTCGGGCAGTACGTCCATCCAACTGCCTCTCTGGAGACCCTTCATTTTTGGCTCAAAATCCGTGCCACCCGCAGAAGGGTAGCACTATATCGGAGCTGGCACTAACAAAGATGGCACTATATCGCGACCCCCCCTGTATGACCTGCGTTTTACCTCATACTGTATGAGGTCAGCGTTGATATTTGAGCAGTTTATTTGCACCAAGCAAAATCATTATTTCAAGCTTTTATTGCAATACTGTAGCTTTTAAATAACGATAATTTAGCGTCTCCTTGTTTGCGTTTGGCCTAAACCAAGCGATGCATCACGTCTTTGAAACATCTTCGTCTCTAACCACCCTAAAAATAAAAAAACAAAGGTGTGCCGCCTGCGTAAAATATAAATGGATCTAAGAAAAGCCAACAACACCTCCATTTTAGATGTTAATCACGTTCCCACAGTGTGCATAGAGTGATATCACTCCTTGGAATCACGCCACACCTCCAAGATGATTTTTTTTGCACTCTGGCAAAGCGTGAAAGTTTATGAAATAGTGACATTCACGCTCTGGCAGTGAACAACGTGATATCACTTTTGGAATCACGCCGTGGATCGTGCGGCATTCACTATACGCCCTTCCACAGCCATTTGCTGCGTCTTGGCGAGGAGTGTTCATGTAATGCCATATTAGAAACCTGGGATGCAGGATACGTCTTCATGGCCCTCGTAAGAAGCATGTTGGTTTCTAGCATTTCGGCATGGTGCAAAGGCCATCTGACCGAAGAGCTCAAGCTTCTTGAGATTCTGAATGATGCGATTCAAATCCCATACGATTGATCAAGCTGGGTTCAGAGTTGCTATCCTTCAAGTTGCTTTATGTCTCACGCACGAAGGCCTCATTCCTCTTTTCCTTCACATAGTCGCACCTCGGCCACGATCTCCCTCGGCACATTGACAATCCTCCCATTCATATTAACTCTGACAGCTTTCTCTGTCCTTCCAGCCAACCGCCCTTCAAACAACTGCTTCTTCTTAAAAACCTCCGTAGTCGTCACCTTGATCGGGAATCCATGAAAAGCAGTAAACTCATAGTCATGCTGCAGCACGTCTGCGGCACCAGGCGTCGAGACCTCCAGCGTGTACGAATCGAATCCAAATTCCTGTGCGTCCAGCACCTCACTGAGGAGGTTGCTTGCCTTTGCGCAATCATCAGACGTCGTCCCCTCCCCGTCCGTGCGTCCGATGTACACTGTGAGGCTGGGTGGGCGCCAGACTGAAGAGCTCAATGTTAGACCGTGCTCCTCCAGGCTATAGTTTACGTTTGTCTCAATGTCAGCGGGTAGACTCGATGGAGATTTTTCAGTGGCACAAGAGATGATTGTCGGTCTCAAGGAGCATTTTGAAGTCGAACGACGCGTACGAAGCAGGCACGACCGCAACGCCGGTGTCGATAGGAATGCTGTGTCCAGCATCAGTCCCCAGTTTTTCTGACCCGTTTAATCGGTTTGCGCCCGTTGCCCCTCTGAAGTAGAATAAGGCTTTGATTTCAGCTCGATTGCTTGCCTGAAGTTGTTCCCGATTTACCGTTCGTTCAGAATGAGCTTTCCTCGGTGCCAGCGAGGTCGAAGAAATTTTGTCGAGCTCCAAGTGAGGTTTGATGTTCGTTTCGCCGCACCGAATATGATAACGCAATATTACTGTACCCATAATTCCCCATGTGCCAAAATACGCCAATGAGAAGGGTACTGTAGATACGAGGTACTTTAGATCCAATGAATTCACAAGTGTTGAGGAATGAGAAGGTATGACAAGGGCCGAATGGCAGTTGGATCCGGCGGCATCTATTCCCCTAGTTGAGGATTGAAGGCGACGCACTTCCTTCATGTCTTGTAAGCACGACCATAGTGGTGTCGCAGCGTTGATGTTCACACCCTACTCTCCCCTGCGATAGCTCATGGAGAGTTGCAGAGGGCGTCGATATTCGTATCCTTTTGAGGTGCAAAGTCCAGTATGTAACCGCCATGAAGAGCTTTATGGTAACTGCTAGCTAGCTCGCTCTCTGCTCCGAAACGTTCGCAATTTTTACACAGTGCATCGCCAATGCAAAGCATCAGTTAGGAAGAGAACTAAGCACGACGTCTTCCGCCTGGACGAGCATGCACCTTTCGTCCGAAACCTCTATCTCGAGATCCCCTGTCCTCTCGACCTTCATTCCGTCGATCCATATACCTATCCCCCCCACGATTAGGTCCGCGTTCCTCGTAACCCCCAAAGTCTCCACCTCTTGGCCCATCTCTGCCACGCACAGGGCCCCGCTCCCGCCCTTCAAACTCCATATGCCGATCATTCTGTCGTGATTTCCACGGAGGACCTTGTTCCAGCTCGTGTTCTCTACGGCGCGGAGGGCCACCGTTGCCTGCGCGCATGTCGTGAGGCCCATCGTGGCTTCGAGAGCGCGTGTGCTCACCCCAGTTAGACTTGCCGGGGGGCCCTTGACCAGGGAATGCGCGACCTGGTGTTCGCGGCGGCGAATTAGGCCCACCGAATCTCATGTTTGGTGATTCTCTTGATGGCTGCCTCTCCCGATATGCACCCTCTGCCCTCTGCCTCGTCGATCGTCTGTTATCTCCATCGAAGGCGTAGGCATCTCTGGTGTTCTCTCTCCTTCGCTTCATGCCATGCCCATCTCCGAAAGACTCCAACTCCGGAAGGTCACGTACAGCTATTCTTGTATCCCCTGATGGCCCAAACTGTATGCCGCCCTGCCCATCTGGGACTCGCCTTCGGCGGGAGGTGTCTCTGCCAGAGACTCCATTCGGTTCGCGTCCTTGCAGCTCTCCGCCAGACGTCTTGCGCTGCAGGGGTTGCCCAGGAGATTCCCTTCGTGAGCTGCTTCGACCCTGATCTTCGCGAGGGTTTCCCTCGCGACCAGGGCCATCCTTACCAGAGCTTTCTCTTCGCGATAGATCCCGACCCCCGGGGTTACGCGATGGTGCGTCTCGGTTTCCCTGTGCGCGAGGCAGCAGCTCACGTCTTAGGGGGCTTCTTCCACCGTTATTGCGTCTTGATGGGCTGTGGCCTGATGAATCTCTTCCCTGCCCTCCACGCCCGAGAGGTTCCCGCTTTTGAGGGCTGCGACCGGCTGCCTCACGCCCGCCTGGACTGCGGTTCGAAGCATCTCGGCGAGGTGGACTTCGAGCTTGAGTGTCACGGCTCTTGCTTGCGTGTCCAGGTCCGTGGTGGTTGGACCCATCTCGGTTGACACCATTGCGGCTTGAGCTTCCAGATATTGGACGATTAGCACCATCCCGACCTCCGCTATCACGAGCGTGACCCTCACGCGTAGAACCACGCTTCTGACTTAGGCCCTTTGCAGAGTTCATCGCAGGTGCAGCGGTCTTCTTGTTCGATCCGATCTGGGTGCCACCAGATCTCCCGCTCGCGTCACGGCTTTGGGGTTTCTCCTCATTTGGCTTCCCAGAATTAGTTTTCTTCATCCCCTCATCGCTGCGTCGCTCATCGCCACCCTTCGCTCGCTTTGCATGCGGTTCGAGTTCCTGTTGGTGTGGTCTTCGTCCGGCGCTACCCACAGCCTGCTGGCTGGAACGGTTCGGCCCGCTATCATCAGCGTCTCGCCCACGTTTCCCATTCTTGCCTCCACCAACCATCCTGTTACCATCACCATGTCCTCCCCGGCCACTCTGCACATCAGGAACGAATTCTTGGGCGCTAGGATCCAAGGCAGCTTTTTGATCTCCCCTCTTAGATTCTTTCGATATGCTTCGGGGAGCATTCACATTCACACCCGAGGACACGACGACCTGTGACGTTCGCGTCTCAGTTTTGGTTCTTCCATCCGAGCCCGAAATTTTCCCTATCTTCGCATCTTTGCGTACGGCGGATAACTTCGATGCATGGTCGTCTCGGGCAGAAACCCTTCCCTTCCCTGCCAAACCACCACCAGATGCTGCAGACCCTGCCGACGGTTTAAGCATAAAGATATGCCGCGGTAACCGTTTCGCATGGCCACTCTTCAATCGCGCCAATACACCCGTCGAGGACAGCCTAATGTCAGGAAGCTCTGACTTGCACATCTTCCCGACACTTGTTTCAAGTTGTGATGCATGTTCGGAAACCTTCGGAAACACTTCTGCAATACTGGCAAGTATGCAAAGGGAGTTGCGTGTATATAGGTATTCCTTCGCAACGAGCACTCTGGAAATCCCTTCCGTCAGACCCTCGTGGATCTCAAAGAGCCATTCGCAGTACTGTTCGTGGCGGAGAGGCTGGGCACCAGAGCTGTCAGGGTCTCGGAAGCCATGTTTCTTTCCTCCCGCAGCCTCAGCGTCAAAGACTTTCCGGTTGCTTCTCCATTTCTCCAACGTTGTCAGCACCTCTTTTAATAGGCGGGCGAAACCCAGAGCTTCGTTTTCTGAACAACTGCGCAGCACAACTGGAGTCAACTTCAATAACGTTCGAAAGTAGGTCGAAAAACAAAGAACGGGAATGTCCAACTCTATCATCATCCGTAGAAAGCGGGAGCAGAAGAGGGCATCGCAAATGGAGAGTTTGCATCGAGGGATAACGCATTCCTGCAAGAACAAATTGACAGCCATTTCCATGTCATGTGCAGGTCGAGATGCTAGGGGGGAACGATGCTCTCCAAGAGATGCCTTAAGAGCCTCCAGTGTGGTAGCTTGCTTCTGGGCGTACGCCTTCCTTTCAGCGTCTAATAAATCCACGAAATCACGTATTCTTCGTAGCTCTGCTTCGCAGCGTCGTCGTCGCTCCTGGTCAATGTGATTAGTGAGTCGACGGTTCCTGTCCACTTCTTTTTCCCATGCACTCATAGCCAGCAAAATCCTCTTCCTTTCTGATTCATACATGTCCACGGGCACGGCAATGTCATCAAGCTTCATAGTCCAAAACGCTGTGACGAACTCCGTGGCCACCAAGTTTTTCATTCGCTTCGCGACAATTCGTCCAAACTGAGAAACACTATCCTCATCGGCATCTTTTGGTACAATATCCATCGGTTTTAAGCCCCCGGGCGCTGGAGACGCATTGCCATTCCCTTTTCCGTTTAACATGGAGCTGTCCGTGACGTTTGTGGCACCAGTCTGCCCCACAGTAGCCGACTCTTTCTTGTCGTCCATACTTCTGCTTTTCCTGCTTTCCTCCGGAAATGGAGCAGACGCACCAACTGTTCCCCCTTTCAAAACTCGGATTTTTGTGGCACCGTCCAGAGTATAGATAGTGGGGTGCCGGCGGAGGTAAGGTATCGTGGGAGACATGAGAACCACCGCAAAAGGAGTAAGCACACTCATTTTCGTCATCAATGTGCTAATTCCCATTTCTTGAAGAGGCCGCCAGATGTCTGCCTCAAGATCTCTTTCCCAATCATTGTGCCCTGAGAAAGAGTTCATGAACCTTGAAAGCTGTGACAGGCTAGATTGCGCGATGTCCACAATGTTAGCTCCGAGCTTCAGCGGCATTGTCCGCAAATCCTCATGACCGGCCGCATCTCTCGACATCTGAGCAATGGCGATTGCGATGGGAACATGCATCTCTGTCCTCCTGCATGCTGTCAGCAGTGCTACTACAGCAGAGTGCTGTTCCCGCTCCTCTTTCGAATCGAATACGTTACCCACAAGATTGGAGTCGGGTTGTAACCGTGCCCATATTCCAGAAACGGCATCGCGCAACGCCCGCCCTCCGCCATGTGCCATCACCTGCTTCGCCGTCAGATTGCTCTCAACTTCAACCCCGGCGACGCATTTGATAATGTCGCTGAGTGCTGTGATGAGCAGCGCTTCTTGATGTATAACAAGTTTGGTGTACAAGAAGCCCAACACACCCTCTATTTGCTGCGGGGTGACTGGCAGTTTCCTCAAACAGAGGCCAAGGAAAAGGGACAATGTCGCATACCATTGCGCGATGTTGATCCCATCATCTTTGAGTCGACTACGGCGGGAATCTGCCATGCGATCGACGATGAGAAACAGCAGCATGTCGACAGCCAAATGCGAACAGTCTTGACACGCATCAATGACGGGGCTAATCGTCACGACGTCGGGCGGATATCCTTGCACTCGGTCGATGGCAGCTGCAAACGCAGGCAGGGCCTGACCACGAGTAATCTTCCCGATGGTCGTGACGTGTTGTTTCTGCGTCTCTTTCGTGAGCCGCTTGAGAACATATCTCATTTCGTATGACGCCTGGCTCGCCACCAGCTGGTACACAGCCGAAGTTGCCGCAACCTGGTTGTGCAAGTTGCCATACAAACGCCATCGCACTTCATGCGACCAACCTCTCAATACAGACCATATCTCTTCCGTCAGTCCCACGTTAGACTGTAGCAAAGATGCCGCCGGAAGAACTACGTCTTGCATGATGGTTATGGCTCTGGGATCTTGTCGACCCCGCACAAGCTTGCACAATGCCTGGAGAACACGCGGAATTGTCATGGCATGTGGACCCAGGATCTGTAGAAGCCTGACGATGACAGCTCCTGGACCGTTGTCATCGTTGTCCAACAATTCATCTACCGTTGCAACCGTGCCAGGACAACGGTTTGCTCGTCCCCCCAGTTTCCCGATGGCTTGGGAGATGTGGCTGTGGCTGGCGTAAAAACCCGGGAACCTGTTGTTTAGCAGAGGATTGAGCAAAGCCTCTGCAAACTTCCCCAACGCCTGACAGATAAAAGGATGCGCGGCGATATCGATATGGGTGCCATTGACCCCAAGGCACCGGATTGCATCAAAGACGTCATCCACTCTGCACATAATGATAAGAACGCAGATGAAGTGGAGCTTTTGGTAGCTAAACGCCGGAAAGGGGCCTGACGTCACCCAGCTGTAGTGCGTAAGTATGTCCCTCTTGCTCGCACTCGACCCACCCCTCTTGAAGATGGCAGGGGTTTGCGCATTCTGCGGCCTGTTCGCGTACGGCGAGCCAACGTGCTTCGCTAGAGCTTGAATCTGCTCATCGTACTTCAGGAACTTCCTGGCCAGCTCCCTGTCATCACGCGGGTAAAGGTTGTGCCAAACGTCGGAGATACGCATTCTGCCCTCCCTCATTAAAATCCCAATCAAGTAGTATAGAGAATCAGGGGTCTTCTGGACTTCCGCTGTCTTCTCCGAACCGGCAGCCGTGGCTGTAGGCGGCGACGGCGTCTGCTGCGAGGTCGCACTTTCGTTCGTGGCCTCATTGACCGGATGGTACGATTGCATGATGGCGCCGAGGACGCTGTGGACGTGATCCCGCGGGAATTCATCCAGAATGCTAACGAAAAGAGGCGGTAAACGGTGGTCGAGCGGTAGATTGCCCACGCGTTCCCTTTCTCCTGTGATAACATCGGCCGCAGCACTAAGCACCAACTCGATGATGCGATTAGTGTCTAGGCTAAATTGCCCCACCAAGGCCAACAATTGCTTAACGACCACCCTCTGGTCGACCGGCTGCGTAGCCTCGATAGTCTCCCCCAGAAGCGTAATGACTTTTGCGTAGCCCTCGCTAGCTTCGCCAAACAGATTGAACCTGGTCTGAGTATACCAGAGCCTGGTGCGCATGCGCTTCTCCTGCGCCGGGCGGGCGATTGTCGGTTCGAGAAGCTGGTGGGTCTCCACGTCGATGGCCTCATACAGCACCTGACGAGGAAGCAGAGTTGTGGAGACTAGATAGCCGACGACCTCGCGGAAGGCACTGGTACAGTCAGGATTGAGTAGAACCAGCTTGCTGAAGATGTAGAGCGAAGAGGCGAGAATCTCGGCGGGTGGGTTGGCCTCGCGAATTGCGGCGACAACAGTAAGAACAATGGCAGCATCTTGAGACTCTAGGAGCGGATTGAGGGCATCAAGGACGTCAAAGGCAGTTTGCTCGCCGATCGAAAAATCAGTCGGTGCCATTGTGAATGAAAAGCGGAAGATTGGATGGACTGGCAGTGTAAACGAAGATGTATGAAGCCGAAAGGTTCAAAGAGAGGGGTGCAGTTTTCGTGATACGGAACATGGGGGAGGGAAGGAAGGAAGCGAGCCTCTAAATAGCGAGGGATGCGGGGAAGTCTTGACAAAGCTCCAGGAGTGGATCGACATGGAGAGGGGATGGCAGGGGGGCAAGATAAGAATTTGGGTTTACCTACACCAGACTCGTCAGTTCTCATTTCATGCGCCGGGTTGGTCACTCGCATCCTTGACTCAAGTGTGCGAAACCATCTATTTCTGTTATTTTTCAAAAATTATTAGTTGACATTTTGGCTCTGCCGCGCCATCTCATTTCAAAAGTTGCAGCTGTGGTTGCCTGCAAGTCTGCAAAGGGTACCCTTGGGTAATCGTCACACGCGCCCGTTACTCTCGTAGTTTTCAGGTTCAACATCGCACCTGCCGACGGTGGGACGGAGGAAATGTCATTTCAAATGCGAGAAATCCAGCTTACGCCTGTTTTGTCTTTGATACTGCACAGCCAGTCAAGCTATTTGGGCATCAGTCTCCCGCCAGGGACAGATTGAGGTCGACTCTCCTCTCTGCACGCAAGACGCGCGGGACACAATTCCAAGCAGACAGTGCGACTCTCGGTCGTCTGCATTTCCTTTCCCGGTCCCGACTGACAAAATTGAAATTTCCGCATCATTTTCCTTCCGGCGGTGATAGCCGACTGCACTTCGAGAATCACAACAGGCAATTCGCAAATCAATTTAACCGCCCTCAAGGCCCTCACGTCCCACAAACCACGTGAGCGAAAATCGAGTGATGGTACAAAACTGTCCGACTTGGAATTGTGAAGGCGTCAGCCTCCCGGCGCGCCGTGTGGAAGCGATACCGGAATCGAGAGGACGACGCGTGCTCCATGGAAGGAACAAATCCACTATTCATTCCAGCAATTAGCCAGCAAGAAACGGATTACCTCAGGCGGTCAGCATTTTTTCCATGCCGTAGAGAGGCCCCGCCGAGCGTGACATGCTTCTGTGCGACGTGAGGCGCTTGTATGTGTTAAGAGTTTTCGCATTTCAGTCGTGCTCTTGTTTCTGAGCATTGTCAGTATGTAGTTCTGGCGCAGATACCACAGAAGGGAAACGCAGTGACTACAGTAGACTCGGTACTCGTGCGCGTGCCTGAGTATTCCGGGTTATTCAGCTCTCGTTCCTATCGCAAAGGACGAGATTGAGAACGGTGGCGACTGGTTCGTAGGAATTCGTGCAGTAGAAACTACCTGCAGTTTGCCTGAGATATCCCCCGCACGCGTTTGTCCTGATCGACCAAATCATCCCCCTTGACTTCAAACAAAAGAACGACGGTTGCGAGACACGAAAGTCCATTTTGGGGCCTGCCTCTGCTTCGTATGAGGATGAAACACTAGTACAATTGGCTTAGAGGAAAAGTATGGCCACTACAGTGGGTCAAATTGCTTGTTTGTGCCGGGGGTAATGCTTGGAGGATTGCTGCTCTGTAGCATTCTGGAGAGCTAAATTTTGCATTTTTCATTCCATTCATAGCTTATGAAGCGCTCAACGATCAATCCATTTATTATAGGTTCGACCCCTCGACCACCTTTATGACTAATCAACCCCATTTACCTTATCTAAAGCGCTTCTCTTCAGTTGCTGTTCGCCCAGACCGTCCCGACCCGACCCCTTGATCCTTTGGTTCCGCCGTTGGTGACAGCGCTATTATCGCAGCCGTATTGCGTCCAGTCCAAGCTCAACTCACGATGCTCTCCCTCCGCTATGGCCGACAATTCCGACTCGCCCTTGCGACCGTCCCGCTTTTGCTAGTACTGCTCACACTGGCCCTAGATCGACACCCGACCATGGGCACCAACCTTGACACCTGCTATATCCGCCGCGAGTTGGAGAAGCCAGCCCCGACCTTCATTCCCATGCGTGATGGCCCGTTGCACAACTACTCTGTCCTGGTCATGTGGATCTCCATGTTCCTTCTGGCCCTGCTCCCCAACGGCCGTCTGAAAGCTGTTTACCTCCTCACTTACACATCCATCTGGTTTCACATCACCTACATTCTCCTCGCTGCCCTCAAGGCACCCCTTTACGATTTTGCCTGTGCAGGCAGACATCAATTTTTCCCAAATGGCATCTCAGGGCATTACTGCTACTTCATATTCGTCGCTCTCACCACGCCACGGTTTGCACGGACGAGACTGCGTCTAAACCCGAACACGTCACGCCTCTACCTGGCGCCAATTGCCCTGTTGTTGACGCTGTTCACTGTCGGAGGCACGGCGACCTTGTACAGGACTTTCTTCCATGGATACCATTCGCCGCGACAAATTGCCCTAGGAGCGGCCCTTGGGATTTTCTCACATAGCGTGTTAGACTTTTTCCAGTTCGAAGATGATGCGGAGCCTCCGATAACAGTGTCGCTCTCTGTCTTGTTTGCGAGTTCGTTGAATGCTCTTACATCTTATTACTTTTTGTGGCCGCACGTCATAGCCGGTGCAGCTATCACGGCAGGGCACCTCCGGTTTCATGCGGCTCTGTGGCTGGTCTTGCTCGCCGCAGCATACTTGCGTCAGTCAGCAGACAGAAAAGTCGCAACAGACTAAGCTTGCTTCCTTTCTTGCAAGAGTTTGGAAGAGGAATTCCAAGACGGCGGGCGAAACAGGAGCGACGCGTGTGCTTCTTTACATAAAAAAAAGTAAGATGGATCATACCAGATCAAGGCTCCAGACGAGAAACTATGACGTATTTTCCTGAGCTCCACATGCAATCACCAAATCTGTCAACGAGCCACCATCGCTCTGTGAGATTTCAAGCGTTTTCTCGTTGGCTAGATGCAGGAGACATATAAACACATACGGCAAAGACACGTCAGGGAGAGAAGACTCTGGGACGAATGACGGTAACTCCTGCACCACCTCCCGCAAGGTTTGAGTCCTGCCTTCACGAATGTCGAGCACATTCTCTTCTGGGTCAGTCTCGGTATGTGCGTCAGAGAGCCGCTGGCCCTCGGGCTCGCCGCAAAGCCTCGACCACATCCCAGTTTTAAGCTGCCGCACGTCGACCTTCTTTGCCACTTTTGCATAGCCGATGTCGATTTTTTCGACTCGTGTCGGCTCTGGAATGAGTTCAATACTGCTCGCGTTAGCGTTGTCGGGTTCAATCATTTCCTCGTTTGTAAAGTCATTGGCGTTGCCTGGACAGAAATTGTCATTGTCGCAGTCATTGTCAAAGTCATACCAACTGTTCTGCGCGTCTCCGCTTTCCGTTGGTTCAATGCTTGCGGCCCTGGCCTTGGTGTCTTTCGGACGCACAAACGTACGCGGTTTGAGGAAAAGTGAGGTTAACGAACGGACTGTGAAGTGCAGGTCTTCCGGCAAAGTCACCTTCTTTTCTGACAAAGCATCTTGGACGGTTTGGGAGAGGTGGTAGGAATCTGCTTTCTTGCCCTGCGCAAACTCTTTCTTGAAGTTGATTTTTGGTGCCTCTTGTGAAAAGTCAAGCAGGATCGCATTTCTTCCCCTCGGGCGCTTTGCCTTTTTCCTCGATGCATCCACTTCTGTCGATCCGGATGTAGGCGCCTGAGCTGCTCGGAATCGCCAATGCTGTGGGCCAGCCCAGCCTGAGATGGAGGACGTGTCGAAAAACGAGTAGTCAGAGTTTTGAGAGAGCGCAACGAGGCCTGCTTCCACGAGATCCAGACTCGCACGGCGAGTGGAAAGGAAAGACACGTTGGACTCTATAGAATGGCGAGCGGGAGCATCCGCGGCTCCAAAGAACACGTCATCATCATCTTCCACCCCCTGGAAGGTCGACTCAGCCGGCCCTTCATTGCTTGCAAACACGCCCATAGCTTCTGCATTTTGCAAGTCACCATTCGTGTAATCAAACTCCACAGGCGAATCACTCAGCTCATCGCTGAACATCGCCGTGGACGCCTCACTGTCGACGGCTGTCGACTCTGATGAGGCAGCACCTGAGCGATCAAACAGGGCTTTCCGGGCTCGGTAAAAGCGCAAAAAGGACCCACAGATGACCTCCAAGTCAGACGGAGCTTGATTCGGGAGCAGGTTAGCGACGTCATACACTTGAGCCTCCGGACCAGCCTCTTCTCCTTCTAGCGATTCCGGTTCGTCGGTGTCCAGAACCAAAGTATCCGCAAGCTCGCCACTATCAAAAATGACTTGCCCCTTCGGCCCAATCGGGAGATTGTTCAAGAGCATACCCCTAGCGCCCCCCTCATCGAAGGCAGCAGACATTTTCTGAAACAGAGGATCGACAGCAAGGTCGGTCTCCAGCTTGTGAGAGGTAATGTTACCCATGTTCCCCTCCAATGTACATCTCCCCGCTCTCTTCCCCTTGCGCTTCCTCTTATGCTCGTCGTCGTCTTCGTCGTCGTCGTCGGCCCCGGCATCCCCATCAGCCGCATCAGCACTGCGCCCCGTCCGCGACAAGCCGCCCAGAACCTTGAAGGCGTTGGTGTGGACGGAATCGACGCGCGAGCAGTAAATCTTGACGCCTGCGTCCAGCGTGACGCCGGCGCGATGAAAGTTCATGTCGTCGGCGGCAGCACCGGGCGGCGGGTCCTCTTGGAAGGCGACGACCCTCTCGACGGGCTGGTTGTCGCCCGTCTTAAACAGCATGGGCATGTAGTCGATAAGGTTGAGGGTCCACGTATTGCGCGCGTTGATCTTATTGTCCTGGCACAGTTTGATGGTATCCGAGTACATCTGGTCGATCTCAGCCTTGGACAGGTTCTGCAGGCGGGCGCGCGTCGAGCGGCGGCGGTCGCGCGGGGCCGTCGGCGGCGGCGAGGCGGACGGCAACATCGGGGTGGCGTGGTGGATGGAGTGGGCAGGGCGCGGGGTCGAGAGCGCGTCGGCGCGGAAGGACAGGCGGTGCGAGCCGCGGCGCGGGGTCGGCGTCGCCGGGATGGCGCGGCGCGGCGTGGCCATGTGGAACGAGCTGAGGCGGTTGCGGCGGCGCGCCGGGGGCGGCGACGAGAGCACTTCCATGGCGGATGAGGTTGTTGGGGCGAGAGGGCGACACCTCGGCGGGAAGGGGGAGATGGAAGAAGCAGTGGAGGTGCCTTTTGGTGGGGGTGAGATGCATCGAGCAAGTAACGGCGTTGGGAAAGGTGTCGGAGACGAGCATCTTGAGTGCTCTGGCGCGAAGTGGCGGGGGGATGGCAGATGGTTGGTTGGTTCAAACATTCAAATACTTGAGAGTGACTTTCTGCACAGCTGTACAGCTAGACACTACAGCTAGACACGTGTGCTTGTGTGGGTGTCACCTTTCACACTTGATCTAAAAACAATTGTCTCCCGAGAACTGCAGCGCAATTAGGTCGCAAAGTCCTTACGTGCCGGCAGGCCTGAAAATCCGTAGCTTGTGGTAGCATCCGCCGACGTATCCAGTGATTATAAAATATGAATAAAATGAGATCTACAGGCAGGCGAGCAGCAGTGCTGACAGCGGCCCGTGGCCACGGGTCCAACGTGGACCCAACGTGGACCCAACAGGGCCGTCTCCAGCGCATGTTGCAAGGGCTTGACCCCTCCAAACGCTGCGCGCACGTGGGCAGCAACCTGCCAACGGCATACGACATGACTCGCTGTCGCCAAGCTGTGCGCGCACAGTGCGGCAGTATGTCCCGCACATTACGCTCCCCTCCCAGCGACGCCCTGTAAACGCCAGCAGCGCGCCCCCCGCGGCGGCCCCGCGCGCCGCCGCTGGCGCAGGGGCCGCGTCGCCGGGCGCTGGAAAAAAAGCGCGGCGAGGCAGCCAACTCTTCGTTAGGAACGGCCCCCCGCCGTGCCGGCCCTGCCCGCGGAAACAGCGGCGACGCGAGGGGCCGGCGCGGGGGGGTGCCCCGAGCGGATACCAACCGGC